CATTCCGGCATCTTTGTGAAGCTGATCTGTTTGCCCATTTTGGGGCCAGGACATTACACAGCCTCTGGGGTTTCAAGGCAATTATTTCTACTTCCCTAGGGGGAATTAAGCAAACACAACTGATCAAAAGTAAGGGGTACTTTGAGTCTCAGGTGAGGATAACAGGAAGGGCTAGCCTACCAGTCTGCTCAGTGTGCAGGGTTTTACTGTGGCACATGCCACTATGTTAATGGACACAGAAATGCATGACACCCTATTTATAACTATGTGTAGCATTAATTTTAGATGGTTTCTCTTGGCCCAAATAGAGAAGGGGTCTATTTTCAGCTCATTAAGGAGACAGCCTTGGCTTTTTTTTATTATTATTATTATTTTTATTTTTTCAAAAGTGACATTTATTTTTTTGCTCCTGTCCTCAGAATTAAATGAGTATTTGTCAGCTCAGTACTGTTGAATTTCAGCTGAAGCCAGAGGCTACAGAATATTAATGGATAGGTAAAAGCCACCCATCAGTCATGCCAAAGTACTACACGGCAGGATGAAGAAGAGGTTAACAAATAGAAAGTAGCAGAAGAAAATGAGTGTTCTTGAAATGTTTTTTCAGGCTTTCCTTTTAGGGTGGGACAGAAGGATGGACAGAGTGTGGGACAGTGGGCATGGAGATACCTTCCTTTATTTGCACTTGCAGGAGAAAAGATTATGAACAGCCTACCCCTGAATTCACTTTGTTCTGTTGTTCGTGAGTTGTTTAGAGCTGTGATCCACCCCGTTCTGGTGTGTTCCAGGTTGGGGTAATCATATTTTGTCAGCCTACATTCCTCACTGCATAGTTCCTGGTTTATGCCATTTCCTTCATTTCTCATCATAAAACTCTTTGTCTTGCCAAACAGCTGCTACGTTCCACCCCAGAAATAGCTGCACTGCAGTCGTGGGTGAAGATGGAGGTGCAGGTGCAAATTGTGCTTTGCTGTTTTTTGGGATGAAATGTGCTGCTTAGTCCAAGCAGGTGCTAAGCACCTGACCAAGTGCAGCATCAGGCTAAAAGCATACTATCCATGACCACTTTGAGTGTCCGCAAGTTTGCGACCCATAAAGGAAATTGCCAGATTCCAGCCTCCCACCGTGGAAGTCACACAGTTTGGATCCAGACCTGGGTTTGGCTGCCAACACCCCCAAAATACAGAAGTGTTCTGATCAGGGAGATTAGTATATTGGTGATCTGGGAAATTGGTTCAGGGTCTCCATATCACAGGTTGTGACTCTGTACTTAAGGTCACAACCAGGGGGTGGGGTTCTCATAGGACATAGAAGAGGTGTCAGCAGTCAGAGCTGCAGGCAGGTTAATTAGCCCACAGCTGATTGTCCGTGGTCTAACTACTCTCAGCTGGCCTCAGTTGCCTGCATGGCCATGACTGCCTAAATATAAGTAGCAGTCTTGCAGTATCCAGGGGTTGCTCAGCAGGATGGATGCATCTCAGTCTAGCCCTGAGCTGCTAACTCCTTGTTCCTAAGTTCCTGATTCTTACCTGCAAACTCTTCCAGACTCCAGCACAGGCCCTGTTGTTCCAGACTAG